TACTAGAAGTAATAGCAAGACGTCTACCTACTCGACTGCAAAGGAAGTGGGTGAAGATGAGCTCCCGTATGGAGGATGAGGGTATCGAGCCAAAGTTTGATGATATCCTGAAACTGGTAAAAGATAGCGTCAATCAATCTATGAGCAAGTTCGCCAGTCTATTAGATCTCACCTCTAGAATAGAGCAGTCTGAGGGTAAAACGCAATCATTGATGACGAGTAGGCCTCAGAGAGGTGGATATCGAGAAGGCTCCATGATGTCTAGTAATGCATATAGACCTAGTGAGTGTAACAGGTTTCGTAGTACATCCTCAACAGATAAGTTGCAAGATGCAAGACAAACACGGTTGTGTTGTACTCGTTTGCAAGAGGTGCATACAAAGGTGAACTGTGAACCAGTGAGCAAGTTCAGTGATAAGCTAAATGTAAAATCCAGGCATGACTCCGAATTGTGTGACGATAACGGTGCAGTGAGAAAGTCTGTAGTTGCAACTGGTAAGCCGTTGTTGAATAGAGTGTCACAGAATAGAGTTATTGCTTCAGAGTGGAGTTCTGACTCCGAAAGTTTACAAAGTATAACTAGTCAGAGTGAAGTTATAAAACCTTTAATGATTTGTTAGGAGGGAGCAAAATTGTCTACTTCTGTTATTAAAGAGTTTGAAAATGATGAAGTTGACGGTAAAGTGAATATTCGTGATAATGATCATGATACTTCACATTTGTCTTTGGTTGATCATTATGAGATGAGGGATATGCCTACTACTGCTAAGTTAAATAAAGGTTCTGTACAACTTGAACGTGAAGTAGAATTGAACGCAGATGCAGTTCCAAAAGGTGTGCATACTTGTGAGACAGTCAGTGTAATTGATCAGCGTGTAGCCCACCTATCATCAGATGATAGTGCTAAACCCGAACTAGTAGTGAAAGACAGCAGTGGTGGTAATCTTGCAGTTGGACAACTATCTGAGAGCCGAACAAGAACAGCTTCTGATCCACCACTAAGTTCATCACCTTGTGTCACTCAGTCATCGTTGGTGCTGTCATCCACAATGAAACAGACACCCATCAACTCAAGTATCTTGTGCAATGACTATGGTAGTATCAGTTCGTTTGAAAGGACGAATATCAATGGTCAGTTTAGTGTGGATAAGCCAAGTGTAAAGGAGAGAGTTATTGTTAAATTGACTTGCATGAATAAAGGCATTTCTAGTTTCAAGTTACCATTTGAATACTATTATCTTTGGTGTAAATTACTCTGTGTCTACGCTTGGTTGACCAGATACGTCGCGTGTTTGTTCGTCATCTATATTCTACGATACAATGACATGAGCGTGTTGCCGTTCAGATTTGAGGATATAGCTCATAGAAGGAAGTTAGCAAATGAACTCTGCGACGATTTTCCAACCTAGGGCGTCAACCTGAGAAGGGTTGTAGGCGTACTGCTGTAAGTCCTACAATTCTTCAAAGGGTAGCGCATCAATGAGCAGTCCAATGTGCTCGGTGTGTGATTTTGTACATATGTTCATATTGTATATGCTGAATTGATATCATCTGTCATCTATCTGCTGATAATTCTGTTTGCGTCCGGACGACTTCCACTTGGATCATCAACCTGAGAAGGAATGCAGGCGTACTGCTGTAAGTCCTACAGTTCTTCAAGGGTAGTTCGTCAGGCAGAATCCACCACATTTGATGTGTTGATTGTACATGTGTTTGTGTTAAATAGTTGTGTGAGTTCCAATTATCGCAATTTTTGGTTAATCTTGTTTGTATCCGAACATTCCACAACTTACAATCGTCAACCTGAGAAGGGTTGTAGGCGTACTGGTGTAAGTCCTGCAATTCTTCAAAGGAATTCCATCAAGATATGATCCGCGATTTTGTGTGTACTGTTTGTATATATGTGCGGTGTGTCATATCAATTGGTGATTTTGGATTCATTGTGTTTACTCGTTGTTTTCGTATCTTGTTGTTATTGCGTAATTTTGTTAAAATTTTCGTCGTGATTACTTCTGAAGTTGTTTCGAGTCTTCTACATCCATGAATGAATTGATTGATGTTAAGGACAGCAGATGGGTCGTATACGCCGGGGAGGCTAGGCTATTGCTGAGAATGAAATGCACACGGAGATAATTGTTAGCTGCGGTCCGACACGCCGGGGAGAAAGAGTGTAAACGACTGAGGCTCGCATGCGTCACCGCTACTAGAACTGAGGCAGAATGAGTGACAAGCGATTGCAGTGATAATTGATAGTGAATAGAAAAGAGGATGCTTGAAGTGTATCATGAGTTGGTGCTATGATCACGTTGCATTCTGCAAGAGTAAGTGGCGATTGTGTTGCAAGATGTCAAGAGGAGGTCTCTGTCTGGAGGCGCAGGTCGTCATTGATGTGTGAGATTGTGCTGTGGGTATGCTTGTGGTGTGTTGGCTTTTCTGTTTGTTTTCCATTTCAGCTCTGTCCGTGTGACCCAGGTTCTCGCAATGGCATCCAAGTCAACGTGTATTGGTCGTGATGGAAAAAAGGAATAGATCCTTTTTTGCCGGGGAGTGTCAATGGAGTTGAAGATTGAACGATCAATTCTTGGTTGTTTGCTCAAAATCAACTTCCCCAATTTTCGCGGAGGCATCAATACGACAGTCATCGTCTCATCGGTCGCTGTTCAGAAAGAAGAGTGAAACATCGTCAGAAGTAATACAATGATTTATTATTGTAATATTTGTTTTCAGACCTTAGTTCGCTTATTCCTTTTATATGTTGGTGTAACAATAAAGAAATCTAAAGCGGCAGATCGGTGTTTTGGTTTTTGCGTCCGTTATAACTAAGCGTTTCTGAGAAATCTTCGAAGAACAGCGTGGGCCCGAGCGTAGCGAGAGCTGGGCATTAACGGTTTATGGGACGTGGCTGACAATAATTTTATTAATAAGGAAAATGTAGCGCAGAATTCGAAAAGCGCGCTGATAGAGATCCATTAGTTCAGCATTAATCAGGTAATTTTCCGTTTAAGCGGCTGAGAGCGACATTTTAATGCATACATTTGGTTGATTATTTCGTGATGGAAGCAATTTGGAGTCAGTTATAAATTACATCGATCTGTGTCTTCTTCATACGTTTTCAGCTGAGGATTTCCGGTTCATGGCATATCCTGAATAACGGTGATTAATACGATTTATCACTTAGACCGCAGCACCACCAAGCTTAAAACAATTCTAAATTTATTCTAACCTATTCCTAGATAATGCCTTTTTACGGTAACTGAAGATCATATTTACCCACCATGTTCTGAAATGACACAGGTCGTGCTTTAAAAGACAGCTGCGTGCTGAATCAAAACTTTCCACTCTGGAGTAACGCTAGTCCATGCTTAATATGTTCTGTGAGGGCTGGAACAACGTTGATAAGCAAACCCAGTAGATTCGATTTGGTGCCACTCATGCTGAAAAATCAGCGCACAGGTTCACTGTCAAACAATGGCAAAACAGCAAGGGAGTTTAATGTTACTATTATTAGCATAGTCTATGTTACTATATTAGCACAGTATACGTTAATTAGCTCAATGATTGCAGGTTTAAAATAATCTTTGACTACCAACATAATAACTGTGAACTTCAGGCTAAAAATAAGCCAAGTAGTAGCACCCAGTGACAAAAACTGACCTACGCACTACAAAATGAGCAAAACATCCAGAAAAACCTTTAAGATTCAATGGAAAATGAATTCACGAAAACATATAACTAACCGACGCAGGAACTCATCATGACCTAGAAACTGACTGTAGCCTCTTTCCTTTTGGATTCGCTTGATGAGATACGACGGTAGAGTTAATAATAATTATAATATATATTCTCATTTTTTACATGAGGGACGCCAGTTTACAGGCATCGTCAATTCGATAATTTACACATAATATTAATAAGCATATTTAGTAAAGATAATATAATAAAGTACATTTTTTTCCCTTGCTATGTAGGGTAAACCAATTGTATAGGCATGCATAGATATTGTTTTAATAATGAATGTGAATGAAGAAGGTGTTGTGAGTTAGATAAAATGGATTTAGTCCATTTTTCACATGGGTCCATGTGCCTGTCAACCAGAATATTAACAAGCTGGTTAAGTGGCACGTAGCTTACCCTGCTGACAATCTTTAACATCCTGCGTAATAAGGTTTAGTCTTTCTTCTGTAGCCCAGGAAAAACTAAGGAGGAACAATAGAGAATAATAGGCAGAATACGGGAGTTAACGAATTGTAGGAGTAAGGGTTCGGTTATACCAGAATGTCTAAACTTCTTGATGTAGAAGGTAAGACGGAATATTTTCTTAGAAATTTCCGACTTGATTTCTATTTCAGTGCCATCTATGTTGCACACCTCGTGAGGTGAGTGTTAACCAGTTTGTTTAGGTCAGATTTATGCCTAAAGGTGAAATTGACTGTTTGGCTTTTGAAGGGGTTTAAGGTGAGACCGTTTTTCTTGGACCATTGGCTGACTTCTGATAAAAAGCCGTTATAAAACCAGACAGTTACATACTATCTCTGGCAATGAACTGAATTGACAACAGATTCCTGGGGACTTGATTAGTTAGATTTTTGAAATGAACTAGACAGTCGTTATTACATCTTTTCGGAAACTTTTCAGTAGTGTCCACCTAAAAACGTACAAAATGAGTAAGCAAGTATACATTATTCTTTCAGTGTTCCTCAAAACCTCAGGAGCTAAACTCACTAAAAAGAGTCAGTATCTAGTCAGTACCAAATAATCGTTGAGTGACTGTTACACTGACATTTTTCTTAATAAAGATTTTTTTACGTGTACTACTGCTATCTACCAAAACTGTCGATTGTAGGTTGAATCTAAGCTGCAGTTATTTATGCTATAAGGTGTGAATGGGCCCTATGAAAACCCTAACGAAACATACATTACATTCGGTTGTTCATGCAACATATTCTCAAAATTTCGATTTTAAACTTCACAGTATATATTAGGTACTGTTTTTTTTAAAGGAATTCTTTCCAAAAGAAGTTTGTTGAACTACTGAATCTTTTTTCTATAATTTCTTCCATAGCTATTAACAGTTATTTAAGCACACTTCACGAAGATTCATTTGCCAATTCAGATGATCAGCCTAGCTCAGGATCTGCCACTTTAGAACAGTTAGCTGCTTTAGCCACCTCGTTAAATAATATTTCTAACCATATCCTCGAGAAAGGATCAAACATGATGAACGAAGTAAATTCATCTCCAAATAATGATGAAACAACGATAAAGTTTACAAATAACGCGTCAATACAATGTACCAAAAACAATGATCTACCTAAAACTAATAAATATGATATAGAACAATCGGCTACAAGTTCGTATACAGTTGATATCAATCCCATTAGACATCACCCTCATGAACAAATTGTTCTTCTTAGTAATGAAAGGCTAAATGATTTATTGAAAATAGTGAGGTAAGTGTAATAATACTTCCTTTCATTTTTCTTTCCACCGATTTACTCATAAATAATAATTTTAAAATACCAATATAGAAGAAATATAAGGAAGCAGACAACCTTATGTTTGAGCCCTTGTCAATCATACTTTCACAAGTTAATGATTATGAAATTCTGTCTCTAGTAGGATAAACCTTATCCTCAAAGAGTTTGCTAAATAAGATAGTGTAGAATGTCTTTCGTTGTTAGTTTTTAGTCTCTTTAAATCTTCAGATTTACAGGCTGTGAAACAGACATTCTTCATTATTTTTATTTATTTGTTGAGATAGAATAACCATGTTTGGTTTACTTGGTTGATGGACGATGTCAGTTAGTTCACTATATTAATGTTGACAAACTCTGTTGTAACTGCTGCGTATGATTTCTAATGCTTTCAACTATACAAAGTATAAAATTAGTTTCGAAACAACAATGAGAATATGTGGCTTGTTGAATTAATATAGTAGTTATACATTAATTGGTTATTATAACGTGTTACCTGGAACGAACTATATACTTAAGTTATTCGGTTTTTTATCTACCGAAGGTTAACTGTAGCCTTTGCATTTATTGTCATTTGTCATTTCGTAGATTGTTCTTACAGTTCCATTGCCTAACAAGGATTGGTAAAAGTCGTCTATTATAAAACTACAATGAGAAAGTAACATAGACGGTAGCGACCTAATGACTGTCGAAAAAGTACCAAGATTATTGGCGAGGCCAATATGAGTTACAGACTAGTTTTAAACAAAAGCAATATGTACATAAAAAGGCCTAAGTAACCTCTGAGTTAATAACTCAATGCTCCATTGACTGATCTACAAAAGCCCAGGTTCTATCTCTAGGTCCAGAATTAACTTCAGTTCCTAGCCAGCTGTCATACCTAAGTTTGAATTCGTAATCACTGCACCAGCTGCTCTGCTGCCTTTTTTCATGTCAATTCTAATCATACTGAATAAAAAAGGAGAAGTAGATGCACTTTCACTCGTAGTAAGGTATGTACACTACTCACGTAGGTTGACTGGTCAGTAATTATAAAATAAGCCTTGACTGCATGAATATCTATCAACCGACCTAAAGCCAGATTTCATAATTTCAGCAGTAAAATAACTTCCGTCTTGAAATAATGATTGTGATATACAATATAATATTCAGTTAGTGTCATTATATGCAGTTGGAATTACTAATTAACTGAACAAAAAAGATCTGGCTGTTAGAAGTTGTCGTTCGACGGCCTCAAACTTATTGTGAACCTGAGTTAGAGTTTCTATGGTTATTTTCTTATATGATAACATTATGGAGGCCTAAAGTTTTCGTTCTAGTCATGCAGTTGTCTGGAATAATATTTTACGTTGCGAGTACCATATATTTGGATAAATTACTTCACTATGATCAGTATTAATCATTTATTATTATAAAATGATATTGACATTTGAAAATGAAGAAAATGGTTATATTCCTTAAGGGGATACATACAGACATATGTACATTTAACCATGATTCAGTGAAAATTGAGTGATTCGATTAGCAAATTTATGTATGACTCAATACTTCCTCTCTAGTCAATTCCTTTACTACATGCACCTTTGTTATTTATACTAAATTTTCATTTTTCATACTGGAAATTAACAGGTTGTGAGCAATCTTCAAGTGTTCGTTTGAAGGGATTCAATTGGTTATAGATTTGATCACACTCTGAAATCAGTCAGAAGATATCATCAGAAAATTTAGGAGTTCAGGATTGTCAATCACGTCTCATAAACCGTTAATGCCCAGCTCTCGCTACGCTCGGGCCCACGCTGTTCTTCGAAGATTTCTCAGAAACGCTTAGTTATAACGGACGCGAAAACCAAAACACCGATCTGCCGCTTTAGATTTCTTTATTGTTACACCAACATATAAAAGGAATAAGCGAACTAAGGTCTGAAAACAAATATTACAATAATAAATCATTGTATTACTTCTGACGATGTTTCACTCTTCTTTCTGAACAGCGACCGATGAGACGATGACTGTCGTATTGATGCCTCCGCGAAAATTGGGGAAGTTGATTTTGAGCAAACAACCAAGAATTGATCGTTCAATCTTCAACTCCATTGACACTCCCCGGCAAAAAAGGATCTATTCCTTTTTTCCATCACGACCAATACACGTTGACTTGGATGCCATTGCGAGAACCTGGGTCACACGGACAGAGCTGAAATGGAAAACAAACAGAAAAGTCAACACACCACAAGCATACTCACAACACAATCTCACACATCAATGACGACCTGCGCCTCCAGACAGAGACCTCCTCTTGACATCTTGCAACACAATCGCCGCTTGCTGGAATGACTCTTGCAGAATGCAATGCGACCATAGCAGCACCTCACGATACTCTACGCACATCCTAATCTACTCACTACCAATTACCACTGAAATCGCTTGTCACTTATTCTGCCTCAGTTCTAGTAGCGGTGACGCATGCGAGCCTCAGTCGTTTACACTCTTTCTCCCCGGCGTGTCGGACCGCAGCCAACAATTATCTCCGTGTGCATTTCGTTCTCAGCAATAGCCTAGCCTCCCCGGCGTATACGACCCATCTGCTGTCCTTAACATCAATCAATTGATTCACGGATGTAGAAGAGTGGACACAACATTGGAAGTAATCACGATGAAAATTTTAACAAAATTCTGCAATAACAACGAGGTACGAAAACAACGAGTAAACACAATGAATTCAAATAACACCAATTGATATGACACACCACACGTATATACAAACAGTACACACAAACTCGCATTTCATGTCTTGATGGAATACCCTTGAAGAATTGTAGGACTTACAGCAGTACGCCTACAACCCTTCTCAGGTTGACGCCCTAGGTTGGAAAATCGTCGCAGAGTCCATTTGCTAACTTCCTTCTATGAGCTATATCCTCAAATCTGAACGGCAACACGCTCATGTCATTGTATCGTAGAATATAGATGACGAACAAACACGCGACGTATCTGGTCAACCAAGCGTAGACACAGAGTAATTTACACCAAAGTTAATAGTATTCAAATGGTAGCTTGAAACTAGAAATGCCTTTATTCATGCCAGTCAATTTAACAATAACTCTCTCCTTTACACTTGGCTTATCCACACTAAACTGACCATTGATATTCGTCCTTTCAAACGAACTGATACTACCATAGTCATTGCACAAGATACTTGAGTTGATGGGTGTCTGTTTCATTGTGGATGACAGCACCAACGATGACTGAGTGACACAAGGTGATGAACTCAGTGGTGGATTAGAAGCTGTTCTTGTTCGGCTCTCAGATAGTTGTCCAACTGCAAGATTACCACCACTGCTGTCTTTCACTACTAGTTCGGGTTTAGCACTATCATCTGATGATAGGTGGGCTACACGCTGATCAATTACACTGACTGTCTCACAAGTATGCACACCTTTTGGAACTGCATCTGCGTTCAATTCTACTTCACGTTCAAGTTGTACAGAACCTTTATTTAACTTAGCGGTAGTAGGCATATCCCTCATCTCATAATGATCAACCAAAGACAAATGTGAAGTATCATGATCATTATCACGAATATTCACTTTACCGTCAACTTCATCATTTTCAAACTCTTTAATAACAGAAGTAGACAATTTTGGTTCCTCCTCGCAAATCATTAAAGGTTTTATAACTTCACTCTAACTAGTAATACTTTGTAAACTTTTGGAGTCAGAACTCCACTCTGAAGCAGCAACTCTATTCTGTGACACTCTATTCAACAATGGCTTACCAGTTGCAACTACAGACTTTCTGACTGCACCGTTATCGTCACACAATTCGGAGTCATGCCTGGATTTCACATTTAGCTTATCACTGAACTTGCTCACTGGCTCACAGTTCACCTTTGTATGCACCTCTTGCAAACGAGTACAACACAACCGTGTTTGTCTTGCATCTTGCAACTTATCTGTTGAGGATGTACTACGAAACCTGTTACACTCACTAGGTCTATATGCATTACTATACATCATGGAGCCTTCTCGATATCCACCTCTCTGAGGCCTACTCGTCATCAATGATTGCGTTTTACCCTCAGACTGCTCTATTCTATGGGTGAGATCTAACAGACTGGCGAACTTGCTCATAGATTGATTGACGCTATCTTTTACCAGTTTCAGGATATCATCAAACTTTGGCTCGATACCCTCATCCTCTATACGGGAGCTCATCTTCACCCACTTCTTTTGCAGTCGAGTAGGTAGACGTCTTGCTATTACTTCTAGTATAAAACTCGAGTTGAGGTCACTCATTCGATTCATCGAAATCATTCCATTCTTGTAAATTAGCAAATTATTTATAAACTCAGTGAGTGCCTGGGAGTTATCCTGTAATTGACCACCATTACCCTTAACAGCCTCGAATAATTTCCCTGCAATCATCGAAGGTCTTCCAAACCTTTGACGTAATGTGCTCATAGCCTCATCGTAGCCCTCTTTTGGCTTCATAAACTTACAACACTGTATAGCTCTTGCAGCATCTCCAGTGCAATATCTCATCAAATACATTAACTTCAATTCATCATTTAATAAAATACCACTCAACATGATCTCAAACTCCTTTACAAATTGTAAATAATCAGCCGGGTTTCCATTAAAACACCGTGGTTCTAATTTAGGAAGCTTGATGTTCCTATTATCACTGAACGGCGAAACAGTAACATCAACCATGTCATGCTTAACATCAGACACATCGTTACAATTAACAGACAAGTCACCATGACTTACTTTCCTGTTTGCATCCAAGACACTCTGTCCCTTCTTTGACCCAGGCATTGTTGAACTTGACCCAATTCCAAAAACGTTCCAGATATTGCTTGTTCAAAGAGGACTTGACTGGCACCAGGAAAAATGAACGGCGACTATCCAAACTTTCACCAACTGTTTCAATCCGCCAGATCTGTTTCTATCGTCAGAAACTGTCAATCACGTCTCATAAACCGTCAATGCCCAGCTCTCGCTACGCTCGGGCCCACGCTGTTCTTCGAAGATTTCTCAGAAACGCTTAGTTATAACGGACGCGAAAACCAAAACACCGATCTGCCGCTTTAGATTTCTTTATTGTTACACCAACATATAAAAGGAATAAGCGAACTAAGGTCTGAAAACAAATATTACAATAATAAATCATTGTATTACTTCTGACGATGTTTCACTCTTCTTTCTGAACAGCGACCGATGAGACGATGACTGTCGTATTGATGCCTCCGCGAAAATTGGGGAAGTTGATTTTGAGCAAACAACCAAGAATTGATCGTTCAATCTTCATCTCCATTGACATGGATAGTTGTTTCATCCGAGCCCGGGACTCTCCAGGAGTAAACTCCCACCGTTTATAAAATTAGCCGTCCACTACTCCCTGGTTTTTCGATGGTTCTTTCACTGATGTCAGCACGTAATCAGCCCTGTTACCAATTAAACCATTGCAAAACCAATACTTAAAAATGAATATTTTGCTCACTAGTGTCTGGTTCTATACTGGGAGTTACCTAGAGTTCTGGTAGGAAGTCGTGGCCAGCAGGGTCTACCAAGTCAGGTGAGTGAACATTGGCTGATGGTCGCGCTACATATCGCTAATTGGAAGTTTGTTGAATTCATTTCATATAAAACAAAATGGACAGATCACTGATAACTGTAAAGGACGGCTGTTTACACTAATGATGTGAACATACAAAGAGTGGTTGTAGGTAAAGCTACCCATAACTGGGAGTGTTACACAGATAGTGTTTCTGTTCCTGAAGCATTTCTATGCATATTTTCACTAAAGTACTATTAGAATTTCATCAACTGTTGTTCATCTCTCGTTGATAAGTTATAAAAACAAAAATTTTTCAATGCATTAAACTTTAACTTCTCAGATGATGTCTACGATATATCTAAGTAATTTAATGATCTAGAGGATATTAGCTACACTTGTTATATTATTATTGCTCCCTTGGGTCCCTAATGGAACATAGGGCTACAACTGCACGTCTCCACTTGCTCCTGTTTTCTGCTCTACTTTTCACCTGCCTCCATGTTAGTCCATACTGTTTCACCTCCTCTTCACACAACCTCCTCCATGTCACCCTTGGACGTCCCATTCGCCAGCTACACTTGCAGATTGATATAATAGACAAATTATCATTTTTCTTCATTAATGAATTAATGAAATTAACTCTTTTCCACTTGATTATTTGCCTTTCTCAACAGTTGTGGTACAATGATGAATAATGATATTTCAATAAAAAATGGTTCTATCAATTCTTCTGCTTTCCAAGGATCACCTACAATAAGCAATCGCTTGTTAAAATCTTCAGGGTATTCAAAACTTTCAGATGCTCATTGTACTAATAGCCTGTCAAAATGCACTGCTACTCATTGCTGTTCATATTATCCAAGAGCTAATATCACAATGGAACATTCTAATAATGTGTATACTCCTCCATCTCTTCAGTATACCTCTTGTTGTTCAACAAATGGTATTCCAAATCAAATTGTTCATTTTTCTGTAAATAGTAGTTCAGCTGCCTCATCCAACAAAAAACCTGTAACTATGGATGATGGTAAGTTTAAGTATACAAATTTTATTTTATAACTTAATACACAATAAACTAGTTTGATTGGTCTAAGGATTTCATCGTGAGCTGACATCGGTTAGAGAGCCATCGAAAAACCAGCTGGGAGTACTGGACAGCTGTTTCGTCAGACTAGTTTGGGACTCTTCACAGTATGGATCCACCGAATAGGGTTCAAACCCAGGACCTTCTGGTTACAAGTCGAGCGAGCTTGTAGACCAATAAGCCACTGGGACCTGATCCGATGGCAAGGCCATGAATTCTAACTTCTGCCAATTCATGACATAGCGCGACCACTTCGTAATATCTTCTTCTATGAGTAACCGTCCTCACCTTCGACCTGCTGCACTCTACTCGTCCCGGCTTCTCAATAAAACCGAATGTCACTGGTAGTGAGTATCAGGCCGATTTCCAAGTATTGGTTTTTGTATGGATTTTGCTCGTTTGATTGGTTGAAGGATTTCATCCAGCGGTCGCGTACTGATGAGGATTCCTAAACCAGGACGATACAGCTCTCCAGTACTCTCAGGATTTCCAGTGGTTCTCTAGCTGATTTCAGCTCATGACGAAATCCTCTAACCAACCAAACAAACAAAATCCCCACAAAAACCAATACTTAAAAATAAGCTAGTTTGTTCAACACAAAAGTTAATTAAGCATACACGAAATGTAGTATTTCCTGTTAAAATAAACAGTCAGCGTTTTGTGTTGTTCTAACTTTCGGTGGATTGCTTGGAAGACAATGTCATACATGTCATATCCTGAATAACGGTGATTAATACGATTTATCACTTAGACCGCAGCACCACCAAGCTTAAAACAATTCTAAATTTATTCTAACCTATTCCTAGATAATGCCTTTTTACGGTAACTGAAGATCATATTTACCCACCATGTTCTGAAATGACACAGGTCGTGCTTTAAAAGACAGCTGCGTGCTGAATCAAAACTTTCCACTCTGGAGTAACGCTAGTCCATGCTTAATATGTTCTGTGAGGGCTGGAACAACGTTGATAAGCAAACCCAGTAGATTCGATTTGGTGCCACTCATGCTGAAAAATCAGCGCACAGGTTCACTGTCAAACAATGGCAAAACAGCAAGGGAGTTTAATGTTACTATTATTAGCATAGTCTATGTTACTATATTAGCACAGTATACGTTAATTAGCTCAATGATTGCAGGTTTAAAATAATCTTTGACTACCAACATAATAACTGTGAACTTCAGGCTAAAAATAAGCCAAGTAGTAGCACCCAGTGACAAAAACTGACCTACGCACTACAAAATGAGCAAAACATCCAGAAAAACCTTTAAGATTCAATGGAAAATGAATTCACGAAAACATATAACTAACCGACGCAGGAACTCATCATGACCTAGAAACTGACTGTAGCCTCTTTCCAACATATTGGCATGTCAGTAGCAAAGCCCAAATTGAACAGTGTTTAAAGGTGTTAGAAAAGTGGATGCTAGCATATTTACTGACGTAAGTGGGGACAAAAGGTCGAGATATGCATAGTGTGAGAGAATAAAGAATGTTTTAATAGAGTTTGTAAGGAAGAAATAAACAAAGCAGCACATAACAGAAAAAGGGAGAAAAGGAAAAGAAAGAAATAAAACGTTGTACCTATAAATAATATGAGTTGGAAAGACGAGATCCAAATGTTCTACTGACTATTTAATAAATTATAGGTATCACGCCAAATGCTTTCTTTATCGCACAGAACACGAGCTAAGCAGGGTATAGTTGAGTTTTTGTACTTGCTAGTGCGAGCATATAGTCATCTATATAGGCTTTTGGTTTCGCTTGATGAGATACGACGGTAGAGTTAATAATAATTATAATATATATTCTCATTTTTTACATGAGGGACGCCAGTTTACAGGCATCGTCAATTCGATAATTTACACATAATATTAATAAGCATATTTAGTAAAGATAATATAATAAAGTACATTTTTTTCCCTTGCTATGTAGGGTAAACCAATTGTATAGGCATGCATAGATATTGTTTTAATAATGAATGTGAATGAAGAAGGTGTTGTGAGTTAGATAAAATGGATTTAGTCCATTTTTCACATGGGTCCATGTGCCTGTCAACCAGAATATTAACAAGCTGGTTAAGTGGCACGTAGCTTACCCTGCTGACAATCTTTAACATCCTGCGTAATAAGGTTTAGTCTTTCTTCTGTAGCCCAGGAAAAACTAAGGAGGAACAATAGAGAATAATAGGCAGAATACGGGAGTTAACGAATTGTAGGAGTAAGGGTTCGGTTATACCAGAATGTCTAAACTTCTTGATGTAGAAGGTAAGACGGAATATTTTCTTAGAAATTTCCGACTTGATTTCTATTTCAGTGCCATCTATGTTGCACACCTCGTGAGGTGAGTGTTAACCAGTTTGTTTAGGTCAGATTTATGCCTAAAGGTGAAATTGACTGTTTGGCTTTTGAAGGGGTTTAAGGTGAGACCGTTTTTCTTGGACCACTGGCTGATTTCTGATAAAAGGCCATTTAGTTTGGAGCAGTCACTTTGACATTTGACAGGCAAAGATACAGTCAGGTCGTCAGCATATTTGACAAAATGAATGTCATTTGAGGATGGTAAGTCATGTAGAAAGAAAGAAAAGAGAAGTGGGGAGAGTACAGTATGTTTGAGGATACCAGCTTAAGTGAACACAGCAGAGGCGGATTTGCCTTTGTATACAGTGTATTGTATCCTGTTAGAGAAGTAGGAATGCAACCAGTTAGTGACCCAGGAAACAAACTGTGTCATAGAGAGTTTATTTAGCAAGAAGCATTTAGGTAACGCGGTACGTTCAACGTTCGCGTTACATTTTTGCGTGATTCGTTACATAAAATTTACCTTTTTGTAATACTTGCACAAGTACTATACTACTTACATATCTGTAACCATTAACTCCCATTTCTAATAGTTATGGTTAATCAAAGTTAAAAGCCACGAACCCAATCTCCGATAAAACTGGTGACCAATTTAACCTCCTCTGTTTGGTTAAATAGCTGTATGAGTTCCATTTATTGTAATTGTTGGTTAATCTTGTTTGTGTCCGGACATTCCACAACTTACAATCGTCAACCTGTGAAGGTTTGTAGGCGTACTGGTGTAAGTCATGCAATTCTTCAAAGGAATTCCACCAAGACATGATCCGCGAGGTTGTTTGTACTATTTGTATATACGTGCGTTGTGTCATATCAATTGGTGTTTTATGGTTTCATTGTGTTTACTTGTTGTTTCCGTATCTTGTTTTTATTGCGTAATTTTGTTAAAATTTTCGTCGTGATTACTTCTGAAGTTGTTTCGAGTCGTCTACATCCGTGAATGAATTGGTTGATGTTAAGGACAGCAGATGGGTCGTATACGCCGGGGAGGCTAGGCTAGTGCTGAGAATGAAATGCACACGGAGATAATTGTTAGCTGCGGTCCGACTCGCCGGGGAGAAAGAGTGTAAACGACTGAGGCTCGCATGCGTCACCGCTACTAGAACTGAGGCAGAATGAGTGACAAGCGATTTCAGTGATAATTGATAGTGAATAGAAAAGAGGATGCTTGAAGTGTATCATGAGTTGGTGCTATGATCACGTTGCATTCTGCAAGAGTAAGTGGCGATTGTGTTGCAAGATGTCAAGAGGAGGTCTCTGTCTGGAGGCGCAGGTCGTCATTGATGTGTGAGATTGTGTTGTGAGTATGCTTGTGGTGTGTTGACTTTTCTGTTTGTTTTCCATTTCAGCTCTGTCCGTGTGACCCAGGTTCTCGCAATGGCATCCAAGTCAACGTGTATTGGTCGTGATGGAAAAAAGGAATAGATCCTTTTTTGCCGGGGAGTGTCAATGGAGTTGAAGATTGAACGATCAATTCTTGGTTGTTTGCTCAAAATCAACTTCCCCAATTTTCGCGGAGGCATCAATACGACAGTCATCGTCTCATCGGTCGCTGTTCAGAAAGAAGAGTGAAACATCGTCAGAAGTAATACAATGATTTATTATTGTAATATTTGTTTACAGACCTTAGTTCGCTTATTCCTTTTATATGTTGGTGTAACAATAAAGAAATCTAAAGCGGCAGATCAGTGTTTTGGTTTTTGCGTCCGTTATAACTAAGCGTTTCTGAAAAACTTCAAGGAACAGCGTGGGCCCGAGCGTAGCGAGAGCTGGGCATTAACGGTTTATGAGACGTAATTGACAACAGTATTTAGTTATAATAGATAGTTCAGAAGATTTCGACTTCAGAGTGTTATGATGGCATAACAGTAAAATAAAATCCGTTAATACTTGAGGCTCACAGTGCAGTTTAGCTGAATTTTTAGACGATCCTGTGTAGGGTTTGGATTTCTGTAGACGTATTTGGTAACGTAATTATATATAATATAATATTTGATTAATTTGGGAGTCAGCCGCTGGGATTAAATGCATTTGATTGACTGAAGAGTTGTGAGGGTAGTTCATTCAGGTTCAGTGCAGCTTTCATGGCGAGTATGACAGGCTGTGTATTCCACTCCAGTTTTGCTTGAAAGGATTGCGGATATTTCGTGATGATGCTTGCGTAAAAAAATAATTGGATCAACTAAAAAAAGGAACTGAGAACCGAATTAGCTCAACGTAGAATATTTTAAATATGTCTGATAATACTGACCGTTTCTGTTAATGCTTTGAGTGAACAAAGCTGTTTAGGTACATACGTCAGATTGGGAAGAAACAATATCACGAATTTTCAGCATATGGCAAACCGTGTCAAGACTATTTTCGGAGAAATATTTATGTAGTAGATGGGTGAATCGTTGCACTGTGGTGCTGTTTTTGATTTCAGCTGTACTGACAGCTAGTATTAGCACTACTCCTAAACATTCAGTACCCTCTGGTCGTACAGAACCTCTCCCAACACCTTATGTGCTTATCGAAGAACTCCAGCCATCAAGCTCTTTTCAGTACTATCTTCAGAAATAGAACTTCTAAAGTTGTCTATAGGAGAACTTAAGGCTGAGTTAAGGGAAATAAAAAACA